CAGTATGAAGAGAGAGAACACTAACCTTGCTTGAGGTGACACCAAAAAGCTTCACAGCAAGAGTCTGTCTGCGACCACGATCTCACCTAGAGGAAGCCACGACATGTCAGAGCAGGGAAGATGACCACGGGTCGTGTTTGTCACCCGATGCGGAGTTTGCGAACAGAAGCAAAATTTTGCGAACGCTGCTGTTCGCGAACTGAATTGTTCGTGAACAGAAGCATTCGTGAACTGAGGTATTACTGTACTTATACAGGTGAGGAAGATGGTATAGAAACCTTTTTTGTTATGCTGGAAAGATCTGCAAGAGCCTGTAAATAGCCCAGGTGATAGTGGGTTGCAAGAATGTTCCATCCTGGAGGGCCTACACTAGTCTTTCAGCTACAAACATGAAGGACTATATCAATGGGAAGCAAGTGGTTCTGCACTGAAGTACAGGTAGTCCTCAAATTATGACGGCAATTGGAACTGGAATTTTGGTTACTAAGCAATGTGGTCATAAAGTGTGACATCATGTGACTGCATCATTTAGTGACAGCAATCCCTGCAGTTCCCATTGCCATTGTTAAGGGAAAATCACGGGTTGTTAAGTTCCTTGAAACTTCCTGCTGGCTTCCAGCAACCAAAGTCAGTGGGGAAGCCAGCCTGAATCTGCAAGTCCCAGGTGGCTTGCAAGCAGGATGGCAGGCAGGTGGGAGAGGGAGCGAGGGGGTGTGCAGGTGTCCAGAGAGGGTGTGTGAGTGGTGAGGGAGGCATGGCATGAATGTGGCGGGGCTTGGGGTGGCTGCTGTTGGGTGGGGGAGGGTGCACAAGGGTGCGCAATGTGATGTAACCCCACAGAGCAGAGTCTCAAACTTTCTCAGTTAAGGTGCTCTTACTGTCTCTGTAATTTTTTCACAGCCAAAACTGTGAACTACTTCGAGCTAGTAATTTGTGATCCCACAGCACCACCATGAGTTTGCTGTAGTGCCCTGGGGTGCCACATCACACAATTTGGGAACTATGACCACAGAGGAATTGGCAAATATTTGGAGATTATGCCTGCAACTTTTCCATTAATACCATGGAATGTAACCATCTATAGATTCCTACCTTCATAAACACCCACAACTTAGATGACACCAATTCATACTTTCTGACTTACATTTTAATCCTTTCATTCATAATTAAACTTACATCTTCACTTCCCTGCATGTATTCATTATCTCCACTCCATAATATAACAATATCTTCATTCAGATCTGTTATGCCCTCTTTTCTCTTAATTTCACAAACATAACATACCTACTTTCATTTCATTTCATTCTTTAATTCATGCTCTTTTTAAAAATTAATACTTTATCTATTTAAAACATTTAAAGAACAGGTTAATACTCTGGTTTCTCTTCAGATTGTTTAAATCTTTCATGGTCTTTATCATTTGCTTCCCTTACGTTCCAAGTCATAATTTTCCATATGCCATGGGTGTCACCTGATGGCCCATAGATTTTAACCAATGTCCATCATGACTTTGGTCAATTGAGGCTTTCATGCAACACCTTTTAGTACAATAGAGGAATGCCTAGGGTACCAGCTTTAACCATACCTATGCCACATACAATACTCCCTAATGGTAAGAACAGTACCAATTAGCTTTAGCACATTTTAGCCAGTATGTCCACAGCTGCAACCAAGGCAGTTTTATCCCAAACGTACTCACACTATTCTAGGCAAGCTTGGGTTCCTAATCTAGAGATTACCTTGCAATCCAAGAGGCACATGCACTGTACTGATACACATTCAGGGTTATTCCATTAATAAATAAATATATATATATATTGTATAGTGTATGTGCCTTCGAGTCAGTGTTGACTCCTAGCGACTGCCTGGATGAGTCCCTGCAGTTTTCTCAGCAAGTGGTTTGCCACTACCTCCTTCCTCAGGCTGAGAGGTAATGTCTGGCCCAAGTCACAGGACTAGAACTCACAGTCTCCTGGTTTCTAGCCTGGTGCCTTAACCACTAGACCAAACTGGCTCTCCCATGAGTATTAGTATTTGGTGGGATATTTTTATAAGTCTTTGCTATTTTACAGATTGTGGATTTTGGCAGGTACCTACCTATATTACACACACATACATTATTACATGCAAAGACAAATATGACACATGAAAATATTTACTGAGGAGGAGGAAAT